CTTGATCAGTACCTTTAGGTACCCAATTACTGTGCATTTTCCAGCAGGGTACTTGCCAAAGTACCACTTAGGTACCTGTAAGTACCTGCAAGTACTTTGGTACCCAAAAGTTCCTGTGACATACTGGTATCAGGGTACTTTTTTGGGTACCCTTAACTCAGTATATTCTCTAGGGAACGTTCCTGCCTGGCTTGTTTTAAATGATAATTTTTTGACCAATCCAATTGTATAGTTGCTACACTATCACTTGTCAATGCTAATTGTCGAATTAATTTAGCACTTTTAAATTGAACACGAACTAATTCCATATGTTTTTGCAGATCCTAAATAATTAACAAGCAACAGTAGCAGTTAAAATTATCCTCATTAAATTGTTCTTTCAAAATACTCACAGATAGTTCTTCACTTAATTTTAAACAAAAAATATTCATTTTGTTTGTCATCGTTGTTTTTGTCGAAACAAATCCACTACTTTTTTCACCTTTTTTTTAATCCATTCGACATCATTTATTGTAAATGGTTCTGCTTTTAAAAAATCCAATTCTTTCAAGATTTCTTCTACTTTTTTCTTATCATCAATAATTGATGTTAAATCATTTGTCATTAAAGATAATAAACAATTAAAGACAGGATACTTATTTTTCAGTTGATTGATTCTATCAGATTTAATCTGTGGATTTAAACATTTCATACAGAGACAAGTACCCCATTCATTTGGTTCAGGTGAAACAATATATGATGGAATATGTCGGGTGAATGTTGAATAAGAACAATCATAGTTTGTCTCCATAATAAACTTTTGATGAAGATTAATCAAAAGAATTACAAATATCGTGCTTGTTTTTCATCAATAATTCTTTTCTTATCTGGTGCCAATCGTGTGATCTCATCATTATTTAGAAATTGTTCGATAGCTTCATCCAATTCTTTTGATAAAGTTGTTGTTTTTGTTGTCGGTAAATTTTGATTCGATAGCTAAAACAAACAATTTTCAATAATACGAGATGATTAAATTATCAGCAACATACATTTATACCAAATTTATTTCGAATATTTACGATACCATCTGAAGGTAAATTCTCTTTTTGCATCATCATACGTGCTGTAGCACGACGTTTAGCATTGAGACTAACATTTTGGAAAAAAAATTTTGATGGTGATACGATTGATGTACTATGTAAGCTTGTTTGTTGCGATGTTGGTGATGATGATGATAAATTAATTATTTGTGCTTTCAGTTTTTTATTTTCCATTTGCAATTATTCATTTTCTTCTCGCAATTTTTTATTTAAATTCTTTAAATTGTTGTTTACTGATTTTAATTGTGCAATAAATCTACGACGGCGTTGACGACTTTCAATTTTCCGACTGTCAGTTCTTAATATCGTAATTGTTGATGCTGCAAGCATTGATTGCTGTTGTTGTTGTTGTTGCTTTTTTTTGCTCGATATGATGCTTTTCTTGCTGATTCTTTTTTTTAAATATTTTTTGTCGAAATTTTTACATCGTAAGCGTTTCAATCGTATTTTCTGTCGATATGTTCAACAATGATCAACATTGCTTTTTCTCTTTTCTTTCTTTAGCACCATTTTGTAAACACTAATCTATTTTGAAAGTAGACAAACAGAGACAAAACGTAAAGACTTATGCGGATTTTCAGATACTATAAGATTATGAGGGATTTAAGTGTCAGTGTAACATGTAAATTTATTTCATAATACTAAGAGAAAGAAAAAGCAGCTCGAAGGCAGTCAGGGTACGAGAATGTCAGTAACTGTGAACACCTCCGGGTCCCAAAAGAGTCGACTGAACGTGAAAAATGCCACAATAACTACTCATCGTTAATAAAAATAATTAAAATCTGTTAGGATATATTCATATGAAAATCTGTCAGGACATTTTTATAGGAAAATCTGTCGGGACATTTTTCGTGTAAAATGCTGTTTTCTCACGAACGGTACATTTCTAAAACCTGAAATTTTCACCATGGCTTTAGAGTTTAGTCTGTTCAAAATGATAAAAAAATCTATGCTTTATCTGTTGTAGTTATTGAGAAATGAAGGTAATGAGATCAGAAATCTGTCGAGACTTTTAGTGGAACCATAGCTAGTTGTTCCTCTTGTTTTTATTATTTTGTTCAATCGAAAGTTCTCTGAAAAAAACAATTTTTACTAAAAAATTTCGAGCCCTGCTATCTTTTGAATACAAGAAGAAAATTAGAGTTTACTTCCAAATTGGCTTTAGTAGCTTCAATCTAATCTGTCGGGACATAAAATAGCCCTTCAGTATGTCTAGGGAGTTTTTGCAATATTTGATTGGTATATTTAAATGAAAATCATATGTAACTTATATAGGGAGAAAGAGAAAAGTCTTGGCTACAAAATAGCTCTAAAAAATAATTTTTGTCCAATGAAAGTTATGGCAAAGAAAAGTGATTTTTTTGTTAATAGTGGCGCAAGAAACAATTTCATTGTTTCTTTTCTTCTTCAAAACATTACATTAATAATAGCCTAAAGAGCTAGTAGTCTATTTGGTAGATGGTCTAGACAATAAGGAATTTTGAAAAAAGAAAATTTATCAAAATCTGTTGAGCAGAAGCTAAGATATGACGATTTTACTGCCAGTGACCCAACGGTACAATACGAGCGCAATTCACCCATATGAACAGTTTCAACAAAATAAACTTTCAGAGCACGCGTATCAACTATAAAAATTCTTATATTCTGATTCATTCATTTACTTAGTATTTTTTAATAGCTTATTTTAAAATCTCTGATAATATATATATTAAATTTGTAACATTCAGAGTTTGTGAGTTTCACATTTTTGCTCCTCTTGGGGCCGCACTGACAAGTTTTTGGTTGTACTATTGTAATTATTCGATAAATATGATGTTTGATCGACCAAAGTAACTGTATTCCATATAAATAGACATCCATAACAATTGGTTGAGTTTCATTATTATGTGAATAATCATTTTTATCGCTCTAATTAAATAAAAATAAACTAACGATGGATGTAGAACAATAATAAAGTTGATACTTGCTTCATTTTCATATATAAATTCAAGTGCACCCTCATTTTCATCTTCATCATCACAATCAATATCTATTTGATTTTCCATTTGAATATTTTCTTGTATCTCTTCATCATAACCATCATCAAAAGAACATTTGTTGATTAATGACGATGTTGATTATTGTTTATTGTTTTTGCTACTGTGTTTTCATCTGAGATAAAAAATCCTTATAATACAATGAATTCTTTGTTTTTAATTTTTTTGGTTTGACAACATATAGTACATGTGAACGACATTATTGCACCTGTTGTCATACAGAAATCTGGAAGAAATTGAACAAGATAACAATATCATTTATAACAAATAGATATTGAAAACTAATAGATGAAAGGAAAATGGTCCAAATTTGGGACAGCTTCGACATGTGCTTTCATTCAGCATATAATAAGCCACCACTATGGCGAAAATTAAAGAGGGCTGCACAAGCAAAACGTTTTTGATCTAAAAATCAAGTTTAGAGAAATCGCTCCCTAATTAGAAGTATATCATTTGCAGAGATGGGACCGGTTCGGTTTTTAACCGAACCGAACCGACCGACCGTAACCGAAATCGGTTCGGTTGGAGATTTTTAGAGAATTCGGTCGGTTACGTTCGGTTCGGTTAGAGACTTTTTCGGTTACGGTCGGTTCGGTTAGAAATTTTAAAAAATTCGGTCGGTTATGTTCGGTTCGGTTAGAAAGAATCAACATAATCGTTTCATTTGAGTTCAATGGACTTTTTCAGTGAAACATAAGAAGAAAAAAGAATATAATCGTACAACAACTAGCTGTTGCTCGCAACGCGGATTATCTCACATATTTTTAAAATTTGCCCTGAGAGGTAAGGAAGTTATAATACAGTAAGAAGATCCAATAAATAATCTTTATTCTTTGCTTTCTCTAAGTGTTCATTACTTTTAGTTGCTATTATTTGATTTGTTGTTGCTAATTTATAAAGCACT